TGGTCTCTGGGGTTCGTTTCTTGGGTCTCGGGGCCATACGACCATCAAGCAAAACGCCTCAAACGAAATGCCTTTTCCAGGAGTGGGGTCGATAGCTCTGGGCCCCCACATACTGTCTGCATGGAGCCGTTGGCCTGGACAAGCGTCGCGCTAGTTTTGCCAAGGTCTCGCACATCCGGCGTCGTGTTATTTTCGCAACCCGCCCCACCCCACCCCCCGTCACCCAGCAGAGCTCTCTACTTTATTCCCAGGATCGGCTTCTTGGCCGCGGGTGTTGGCTTGCAAGTCCCTGGGCCCGCAAACGACCCTCTCAGGCCGTACGTGTAATATCCAAAGCTTGTTTTTGAAAATGATGACCCCCCTAGATCCCGACTGCCATTAACTCGGCGCCGAATATTTTTTTCAAAACTGCCCCCCTGGAACAGTTCTACGCAGACCGATCGATGCGATAGATCAATACACACATGCATATTGTATTTTGAATTGCGAAGGCCTTACGGCCGGTGCCGCCGACCCTGAGATCGACGAAGATGAAAACGAGGGGAGGGGCAGGGGGAGGAGGATGAGTGCGAGGTGGAGGAAGTTTAGGACTCTGTTTGAGGCTTCTTGGGGCGTCTCGGGGCGATCTTGGGGCCTGTTGGGTTGTCTGGAAGCTTCGGGGAGCGAAAGAAACGAGAACGCAAGAATCTGTGGAACACGGACGAGAATCAAAGGATTTTGCTTGTTTGGGCCTTCGTGGGGTTGCGCCTGGAGGCATTTTTCGCCTTCTTGCAGTCTTTGGGGCCGTCCCGAGGCTGCGAAGTCGTCTTGCACAGATCGTTCGGCGATTCAACGTCTTCTTGAACTGTCTTGAAGGCGTCTCGGGGCAATCTTCGCTCGTCCAGAGGCCTTTTCGAGCTCCGGGACCCGTCCCTGAAGGGGACGACGGCGGCGGCGGCGGTAGTGACGACGACGCTGATGTGGGTTGAGTCCTTAGGGGTGCTTCTTGGGGTCTCTTCCGAGCGCTCTCGAAGGCCTCGGGGAGGGGAGTTTGGGGGCCGCTTAGGAGCCTCTTGGGGCCTCGTGGGGCTTCTTCGGGGCCTCTTGGGGGCCTCTTGGGGCTGAGGGCTCGAAGTGTCCGTTGGGGTCCCCCGTCTAAGCACTCTCCTGGAGCCGTCTTGGAGGCGCCTTGGGCCGTCTTGGGGCCGTCTTCGGCCGTTAGGGGACCCCTTCTTGGGGGCCTCTTGGGACGTCTCGGGGCGATCTTGGGGGCCTCTTGGGCTGTCTTGGCGCGTCGGGAGGCAGAAGAGGCAAGAACGCCAAAATCTTTCAAACACGCATGGGAGATCCATGAATTTTGCCTCTTGGGGCTCTCGTGGGAAATCTCCTGGAGGCCTCTTGGGGCGCTTTGCAGACCTCTTGGGCCGTCTGGAGGCCGTCAAGGCGTCTTGGACAGATCGTTCGGCGATTCGGGGTCCTCTTGGGGCACTCTTGGCCCGTCTTGGGGCTTTTTGGGGCTCCGGGACTCACAGGTGGGGCGTCGTATCTGACCCCCCTTCCCCAGGATCCCCCCCCCGGGACCCCCCCCGGGAGACCCCCCGGGGACCCCCCCTGGCGGGGGAGGGATCGAAGGAAAGGGGCTTCCCTTCGACTCAATTTCGACGTTGCTCAACTTCGCTTTGGCTGGCGCGCTGAGGAGGTCCCTGGGAAAGGGGAGAGCTTCGACGAGCCCTGAAAGGGGGAGGCAGGGAAAGGGAACGCCAGAGACGACGACCAACGAATGACGGAGATGACGACTTGAATGGAAAAGCCCCTCACACACGCCGACAGGGTCGGCAGATTTTATACATATATGTGTATACACGCTCGCACGCGGATGCAGTGGTACATGCGTATGAACTGTATGCGTGTAGATGTGCAGGATACTTCGGTCGACGAGGAGGTAGTTTTTGTCTTACTGGGACACTCTACGTACGGTCGCGCGCGACTGCGCGCGCTTTCGCGCGGTGGCGTCCAACTCTCGCGCTCGGTAGTCTCTGGTGCGTGATCGGGCACCTGGCGGCCGTGCCCCTCACGCATGGGCTGTGTTTCCCACAAAGAAGAGAGCAAGGCTGCCGCGCGCGCGGCGTCGTTTTCTCGGCACCAGTGAGGGAGGGTGTGCGTGGAGTGGCCCCTGAGCGCGGTCCCGATCCACGCCAGGTCGCAGGGCGCGTCAGGTGTAGCACGTCGTGACCAGAGATGATGCGCAAGGGGTGGTCCCTGAGCGCAGTCTCTATCCATGCCAAGTTCGCAAGGCGTGGCAGGCGTGGCCTGACGCAAAGAGGGATTGCGCAGGATTCCGCCCCTGCGCGCGGAGCGCCAGGGCTGTCGCCGGGACGCCCTTGGCTGTCTGGTTTGCCCCGCCTTCCTCTTGTTTTCTATGTGCGCACTGTTGCGCTGGGAATTGTTCCCAACGTTCTTTGGTGTCAGGTCCCAGTTTTGAAAAGGCAGCGCCCCGCGTTCATCCCACCTCCTCCCCCGCCTCCCACTTCCTTCCCCCCATCATCATGATCATCATCATCATCATCATCATCATCATCATCATCATCATCATCATCATCATCATCATCTTCATCATCATCACCACTACCATCGTCATCATCATCATCACCATCATCGTTATCGCCATCGTCATTATCCTCATCATCATTACCACCATCAACATGATTGCCGTCATCATCGCCATCTTCGTCATCATCTCCGTCATCGTCGTCCACACCAGCATCGCCGTTTTCGTTACCATCATAGACACTCATGTCGGCGCGCCTCTCACACCTTTTCTAGTGGCCCCACAAGAAGCTCCATTTAATACCCCAGTGGCAAAGTTCGCATGGCGGCGCCGCCCCATTCTGGCACACCCTTCACACGTTTTTTGGCCCTCTAAAAGGGGGGCTCCACCTAGGGCCCCAGTGGCGACGTTCCTATGCGTCCGCGCCACCGATTTCGGCACAACTCTCACGCGGTTTGTGGCCCCATAAGGAGCTCAGCTCCACCTTGGGTTTCAGTGGCGACGTTCCCATGCGTACGCGCCACCAATTAGGCACCCTCCGCACGCGGTTCGTTGCCCCATGGGGATCCCCACCTCAGGCCCCAGTTGCGACGTTCCCATGCGTCCGCGCGGCTCATTTCGGCGCGCGTTCGTGGCCCCATAGGGAGCTCCACCTAATGCCCCAGTGGCGGCGTTCCTATGCGTCCGCGCCGCCGATTTCGGCCCCGCCCCCCGCGGTTTGTGGTCCGTGCGACTGAATGTCGGGACACCCTTCGCGCGGTTCGTGGCCCCATATGGAGGCCCACTCAAGGCCCCAGTGGCGACGTTCCCATCCGTCCGCGCCACCCATCTCGGCACAGTCCGCACGCGGTTCGTGGCCCCATAAGGAACTCCACCGAGGCCCCCGTGGCGACGTTCCCATGCGTCCGCGCCGCCCGTTTTCGGCACGCCCCTCACACGGTTCGTGGCCCCATAGGGAGCGCCACCGAAAACGAATTGCGGTATTCACAATTGCGCATGGTAGGGTCCTTCGCCAGGCGATTTTTCTGATGATCCTCCCACATATATTTTTCAACGGTTTCTAGAAACCACGTAGATAAACGCCCGTTTTCGCGATGTGTGGATGCCTGAAATAGCGTCTTCGGCGCTTGAGGGCGTGGGGGGTTCCCATAGTCTCCAGATCTGACCCTCCTCTACGCCCCAAGGAAGTTGGGTGGGGGGACAGGGTTCGAACCTCCCCCCTCTTCGAAGTTAGGGGGCCAGAACCTCCTCTCCCACTGCGCGCCGGCAAGCGACGACGATCACGACGAATAAAAAGGACGACGACGCTGACAATGACGACGCTGACGCTGACGCTGACGACAAAGACATGTTTACATTGAAGACCCCGCCCCCCCTGCCCGTGTTAATGTCCTGCCCCCCGCTGGACCCGCCCGCCTGGCCGACCCATCAGTTAGGGCCCCGCCCACCAGACACGCCCGTTGAGTTGCAGACAGTAGGACCCGCCCGTCTGGGTCCTGCCAGCCCCGCCCCTCTTGCTAGGGTCCAGACTGGAAGTCCCATCCGCTGGGCCCAGCCGCCCAAACCGCCCGTAAGGGTCCCGACATCCCGAATGCTTGAAAGCCCGCCTGCACGCTTGAGTGTCCCGCTCGCCGGACCCGCCTGTCAGGGCCCAGCCTGGCTGACCAGCCGATCGGGGTTCCGCCCGCTCGACCCGCCCGCTTCGATGCTTGAAATCTCGCCCGCCCGCCCGACCCGCCCGTTTGGGTTCTGCTTGCACGACCCGTCCGTCTGGATCCCGACCTCTCGGATGCTCGAAAGCCCGCGCACCCGCTGGAACGTCCCGCTCGCAAGACACGCCCGTTCGGGTCGAACCCGCCCGACTCGCCCGTCAGGGTTCGCCCGCCCGACCCGCCCGTTTGCCGCCGCCTTCGTGTTCTTGTTCGTTATCGTTATCGTTGTCGTCGTCGTTGTCGTCGTCGTTGTCGTCGACGTCGCCGCCGTCGTCGTCGCCGTCGTAGTCGCCGTCGCCGTCGCCGCAGTCGCTGTCGTCATCGTCAGCGTCACTGCCGTCGTCGTGTTCGTCATAGCGTCATCGGCCTCAGCGTCAGCGTTACCCCTGTCAGGGTCAGCGTTGTCGTCGATTCTGCCGAAACAGAAGCGCCCCCACCCGACTTTCAAAGACGGGGTCTTTTTTCCAGACTGCTGGAAGTGGCGCCAGAGTGGCGGGGAGAGGCCCATGTTCTGTCGGTGTGTGTACGGATGGATTTGCGATGCACATCTTGCCTGAAATACTTTCTTTCGGATGGCGGGGACGAGCGCAGGGGTGGATCTGCTCGTCGGGCCGTTTTTCCAGCTACTCGTTCCGGGTACGCCTGGGCTGAAAATGTTGCCTTCTCCAGGGGAGCGGCGCGAGAGCTTGGGGATGCGTTTCGCACAGCACGATGCGCGCGAAGCTTGGTGACCTAGAGGTCTGTGTGTCGCTTCTGCGCAGGTGAAGATCCACAACTCCGAGTGCCAGGATGCGCAGGAGCCAGGGCAGGGTGGCATGGTCCAGCAGGACGACTGGTATGACAGGTCGAGCCGTGTAGGAAGTGCTGACCATGCATGCAAATGGTTTCGAAGTGTTCTTTCAGTGTCTCGCGGTCGCTCGGGTAGGTTCCATCTCGGATGGTATCTGGTGGCCCCCGGCTCATCCTGGCTCTGTGCCTGGGCACTTGGCGGTCTTCTGGAGGGCTTCTTGCGTCTTGTTGGGGGCTTCTGGGGCGCTCTCATGATTTTGTTAGGGCCGCTTAGAGGCCTCTGGATATCTCATGCGGGGCCTCTTGGGAGCCTCTTAGGAGCCTTTTGGGCGCTCTTTGTGGCCCCTTGACAGACTGGGCATTCAGCTCAGCGAACCCTCTCAGACAAAAAGTACCAACTAGTTTTAACAAGCTATGGTGTTCAACGATTTCAGCTTTGGGAGACTCAGGAACATTAAGGATGTTCCCTCCTGGGGCCCTCGTGGAGGTCCTCTTTGGGCTCTCGTGGGCCATCGGAATGCCTCTTGGGTCGTCTTGGAGGGGCGGCGACGACGAGAAGGGAGGATGAGGAGGAAACGGAAGGAGACGAGGCGGAGGTGGTGGGGGCCCTCGTGTTGTTTGGGAGCGAGGGGGCACCCCTCCACTCGACCCCCACCGGGATCCGGTGGGGAAACGATGCAGTGAATGGGTTTCTTTGCAAGATACACCGGTTTCGTGTTGAAGTGGCTGTGTTATTGTATGCGATTGGCTGACGGTGCGAGCGTTTCGCTCGAAAAGCCTCGACAGCCCTCACACGCATGCCATGAGGTCGGCGGATTTCGAGCCTTCTTTACACAGAATTCGAAGGGACCTGACGACACTACATATTCAGTGCCTACGGCACGGTGGCGGATTGGTAGCTGCGGCGTGGGGGACACTTGCTTGATCCTCGGTTCGTCTTTGAGGGTTTCCTCCTCTTCCTCCTCCTCCTCCCTGCACCACCATGGCCCGATGCTTTTTGTTCTTGTATTCAGACGCTGCATTCTTTGATTTGGGAGCCTGCATTTCAGCAGCGCGCTGTAGAAACCGTGGCCCGATGTGGGTAACTTTGAACCGCCAACCACTCAGAAGTATGGCGTGAGCTGGTGAGCATTATACCAGAAACGATGATGGTACTGAGTCGTGGTTCAGGGGGTGGTGGTTGTAAACGGGGTACGTGTGATAGCTTTAACAGAATGACAAGTACACGACTCTGCTGAACGCCAGTCGCCATAGCGAGGGCTACTGTAGGAACTGCCGTGGTCTTTCTGTGGGCCAAGAGGGTGAGGACCAGGAAAGGGCGAGCCTCTGTGCCGCATTCAGCTTTCACGCGCTGGCCTGGGCCCCTGCTCGAATGCGTGTGCGAATCCAGTCGCACTGGGTCTGACGTTGCCCAGACGAGGAAAATCCTGTGCAGGGTAGCCCCCGCCCTCTTTCCGCCAGGTCGGCGCCAATCTTGCTGTAGGGTATCCGGGTGGCAGGACGCGCCCCCATCCGTCCTCCTCCGTCAGATCTGCTCTTGTACGCTGACTGGGAGCCCGCGCTTGGTGCAGACTGCGGGCAGTTAATCAGCTCAGCACCTCCTCTTCAGGAAGCTTCAAGTAGGCCCCCCTTGCGCTCCGATGCCTCACTACATCAATGTTGCTGCCTGGTGGAGGAGGGCTCGTTGTGTCACAAGGGGATTATGCACATCATCGAGGACATTGCCTTTTCATTGCCCAGGGGAGTCTTCAGAGGATGGAGGACGAGGGAGGCTTTTGATATCAATGCAGATGAGTCGGGTTTCTCCAGTTCTACTAATCTCACTTCAATGTCTTACCAGATATGCACGAGCGCATGCCACTACCCTCGACACAGGACCTGTGATTATGCATCTGGTTCCATTGTAACTTTGAGGCATTGCTTTGAATGTTGTGTGGTTCGGGCTGCCTGTCGCGAGGGTACATGTGTGTGCACACCTCGCACATTCGCATTCATGTTGCGTTGTACCCCTCGAAGCCAGGCCAGTGGTGTTACTACCTTGCCAGCCGCGCCTTTTTGCAGCCCTGCTAATGCAAGTTGTTCTGCTCGTGCGGTGCTCTTCTGTAGCCGCAGGCTTCCCCTCCCCCTGGTCGTTTCCTCCCCTCCCCATCCGAGGTGAAGCAGTGGGGTGATGATGGAGAGAGGGGTGATGATGATACTGATGATGATAATGATGATGATGATGCTGATGCTTATGCTGATACTGATGATGACGATGATGCTGATAATGGTACTGCATACCAAGATGATGCTGAGAACGGTTTGGAAGACAACAGTGACGATGCGGATGAGGATCGCGACGATGTGATACTAATCGTGACGATACTACTGCTGGCATCGACGACGCTGATGGCGATTGCGAAGACACAGGCGACGACGGCGACGACCATGACGACGACAACGAGAGAATGATGATGCTGCTGATGCTGCTGTTGATGATGATGATGCTGATGATGATGAGTACGATGACCATTGATGATGCTGTTGCTGATCATGATGATGCTGGTAGTCTTGCTGTTGATGCTGATGATGCTGATGATGATGATGATGCTGATGATGATGATGATTATGATAATTGCGAGGATGACGATGACGACGATGACGATACTGATGCGGCTGATGATGATGCTGCTGCTGATGATGATGATGATGATGATGATGACGTTGATGATGGCGATGACAGTGATGGCGGCGGCGACGATGATGATGAACTGATGCTGATGATGCTGATGGTGGTACTCATGATGGTGATGATGGCGAGGAAGATGCTGATGATGGCTACGACAGCAACGCTCATGATGATGCTGCTGATGATGACGACGACGATGCTGATGCTGATACTGATGCTGATGCTGGTGCTGGTGCTGGTGCCGATGCCGATGCCGCTGCCGCTGCTGATTCTACTAATGGTGATTGTGATGGTGATGGTGGTGGTGATGGTTTGGATGATTATGACTCATGGTTGTGATATCGGAGAGTGCGATGTGCGAGACACGCCCAAGGAACGAGAGGGTCTGGTCCCGCACCACAGTCGGGTAGTATGGTGGTCTGCACGCGCTTGTGGGCACGCGCGGTCGCAACGTCTGCGGTTCGTGGCCACTGCCAGCAGTCCTCATACATTGCGGCGCGTCAATCTTAGCAGGATCCTGCCGACGTGCTAATGCTCGCTGTCCTTGCGTATTCCTAGGTGCTCGATCTGGTGCTCGCAGGTACGTTGCACCGCTCGCGGGCTGTTGCGGTGCCCACAAGCACACTGCCTTTGCTCGCAGGCTTTGCGTGGCTCACGAGCATTGCCACACAGTTCGGCGATTTCACTCACGTCGGGGCGATCGCATCAAAGGCTATTGTGGTGCTCGCAGGCATAGCGCAGTACTCGCGGGCATGCTGCGGCCCCAATTACGCCCTTCATCGCCTTGGAAGGAGGGGTGGGGAACGAGAGGATGAGGAGGAGGAGGACGAGGACGAGGATGAGGAGGAGAAGGAGGAGGAGGAGAAGCAGAACGAGCAGGAGGATGAGGAGGAGGAGGAGGAAGAGGAAGAATGAGGAAGAGGAGGAGAAGGAAACATTTGTAGCTGGGCGCCGCGGCTGGCGCCGTCCAGCCCTCTGGCTGCAAGGTTGGCCTCTGGGTTCACCCGGAGCTGTACCCGGAGCTCAACACGAACTCCACTCGCCAAGAGGTGCAGGATCTGCCCCCCGCAGGAGGAAGGACTTGAAGAAGGGGGAAGAGAGGAAAGCGAAGAGGATTTTTTCGAGGAGTGGGATCATTCCCCTCGTCCGTCCCTTCCTGCTCCTCCCTACTCCTACATCCTCACCTTGTCCTGACGGAGTACGGAGGGAGGAGGATCAACAGCGGGAGGACGGAGGCGCAATTTTACAACGAGCGGGAGGAATCGGAAGAAAGAGGAGGAGAGGAGGAGCGGGACACAGCGGATGAGGTGGAGGAGGAGGAGGCGGAGGAGGAGGAGGCGGAGGAGGATATGGGAGGAAGAAGGGGAGGATAATAAGGATCAGGATGAGGATGAGGAGGAGGAGGAGGTTCAGGAGGAGGGAGGTGGTAGGACATAGGAGGTAGACGGTAGGAGGTCGAAGGTATAAGGTAGACGCTGAAGCGTGCCAAATCACCGTTCTCGGGAGTTCAACGCCACGAATCAGCATGACTGTTGCGTCTTGCCGATCCGGAATCGTGCCAGAACACCCTTCCTGGGACTTCACCACTGCGAATCCACGCAACTGTTGCGCCCTCGCAATCCTGAGCCCTTCCAAAACACCAGGCTTGGCACGTTGACCATGGGAATCCATAGAACTCTTGCACATGCTCAGGCGACAGCCGCATTTTGGAAAGGAACCGCCCTCGATCCGTGAAACTCCTGCAATTATTTTGACCGAATGTGCGCGGCCCAAAGGCGAGAACCACATTTTGAAAAGGAACCGCCCTCTCTCCGTGAAGCTGACGCACATTTTAATAACGAGTGTGCGCGGCGCTCAACGACCCGCCTTTAATCAGTGAACGACGTGCAATTGTTAGAACGACGGTTCGCGGCGCTAAGGCGAGAGCCACAGGAGTTATTTGTAAGGAAAAGGAATGGAGGAGGAGGAGGAGGAGGAGGAGGAGGAGGAGGAGGAGGAGGAGGAGGAGGAGGAGGAGGAGGAGGAGGAGGAGGAGGAGGAGGAGGAGGAGGAGGAGGAGGAGGAGGAGGAGGAGGCGACGAGGAAGAGGAGAAGGAGGAGGAGGAGGAGGAGAAGGAGGAGGAGCAGTATGAGGAAGAGGCAAAAGTGAAGGAGCTCGAGAGGTCAGAACATCGGCGCTGTGGATCACCTGCAGGGCCGAAGTCCTCCCCCCCCCTCCTCCCCTCTGGGGCGCGCGCCGCTACAGTCCGACGGCCCCTGCAGGCGATGCCTGGCAGGGGAGAGGCAGGGGGGCGATCGGCGAGGGGTAGGGGGAGGAGGAGGGATAGGGATGAGGGAGGGGAAGGAGTGGAAGGAGGGAGGGGGAGGCAGGGGGCGAGGGGTAGGGGGAGGAGGGAGGGAGGGGAATCGAGAAAGTGAAGGAATTGTTCAAGGCGCATGGATCAGCGACGGGTCCCGTCTCCATACAGAATCGGCGCGCTCCGCCACCAAGTCGGGTGGCACTGGCGCCATTTCTTGGGGACATCTTCCCCGATCCATGGATCTGGCCCCCGCGCACCACCTCTGCGCATCACTGGTCCATCTCAGCATGCGCCCGAGGGAAGCACCGTTGCTTTCCTCTTCCTCCTTCTTCTTCTCCTTCGTCTTCTTCTTCACCCCGCCGACTGGAGCCCTGAGGCAGCGTACTCGGGGGAGGCGGCGAGGGCAGCTCGGCGAGCCTGATCCCCACGTCCGCCGTCGTGGGCCGTTCGGGAGACAGGCGCCGATGCTCCTTCCGCCCCGTCCCAATGGGGCCGTGAAGAGACTTGTCCAGGACGAGCAGTCGATCCTTGGGTACGGCTCGAGAGCTCCAGTGCCGCGTATTGCGAAAAAGGGGCGACGTCTCCAGCGATCGAGGTCTTTCGGGCGCCTGCGTGCCTCGCCCTCGTCGCCACGGCTGGGTCCGACGGGGCAGCCGTGGTGGAGTTCGCCCGAGGCGACTTCAAGTGCGTGCTGTGCAGGCTGTGGAAGTCTGCATGCTTCAAGGCGAGTGTCGAGCCGAAGGTGCCATCCCGCAGCGTGCGTGAGGCGCCACCTTGGGCGAAGGGTAAGGAGGTCACGGCGGCGAAGACGAGGATCCAAGAGCTGGAGTCAGAGGTGGCACGGCTCGAGAAGGCGTCGGCATCGGCAGTGGGCGGGTCCTCGCACGCTGCTGACATGGAGGTCGACGGAGGTGGGGTCACCGCCCCGACGGACGCCACCGCTGAGATGGAGAAAACGGACGGCTGCAAAAGGGACCAGGAGATTGAGGAGAAGGTGGTCGCATAGGGGACGTGTCCAGCTCGGACGCCAAACGAAGTGGGTTTCTGGAGGGGCTCAATAAGTAGAAGGGTGAGCTGCGTATGCGTTTGCCGGCGACGAGGCCGGTGCACCCGCAGTTGCAGACTTTGTCGCACAGAGTCAAGCTTGGTGAGAAGAAGGTCTCGGCGATGCGAGAGCTAGTCCAGAGCAACATTATGGATATCAAGAAGTTGGAGGAGCAGGTCCTGGAGGCTGAGGCGGATTCGGCTAGTCAGGGGAGGGAGGTGGCAGCGCTCAGCGTCCAGCTGCAGGAGCTCACGGCGAATGTCCGAAGGGGCTCCAGTCAAGGCAGAGATCAGCGCCCACATGCATGGACTGGAGGTCGACGTTGAGGAGCTGGGTGATCTGCTGGCCAGCGACGGGGTCGGCGCGGAGGAGGGCGTGACGCTGGCTCGGGCGCTGGCGACGGTCATCCCCTGGGCGCTGCGGACAGCCGCGGGAGGTGGGCAGAGTGCTGCGGGTTCGGGGCTTGCTGCTGCCGAAGTGCCACGTGCGGCGGCACCAGTGGACTGGGGCAAAGCAGCAACAGCCAACGCCGACGAGGCTTGGGAGGCGGAGTTGCGAGAGGGTCTCGAGGACATTTTCGAGGCGTCGCATGAGAGTTTGGAGGAAACTCGGTCTGCAACTAAGCGTGTGGCTGAGGGCCCACTCCCATTCTTGCCCCTTGATGCCAAGAGAGGGGTGAGCGGCAGTGGCGCGAGGTGGTGTTGGCGCCGAGTTCTGTTGAGATGGTGTCGAGCGACATGGTGGAACTTCAGGATGACGTTAAGGGCCTTGGCCACTATGAATGTTGAGGGGGGCCAAGCCGTTGAAGAAGGCGGTGGGAGATTGCAAGTCCCAGGTGGTATGTGCGCAGGAGCACAAGACCGTCGTGACGAGGCTGGTGCCGCTGCAGAACCTTGCCAAGGACTCAGGGTTCCATGGGGTGTGGTCCAGTGCTGTGGAGGCTGCGGGCTGGGGGGGATCTCGTGGCGCGTCGATCCTGGCGCCAGTCCCCGCGTCGTCGTGAAGGCGCCGCCCTTCATTGCTCATCCCGTTTCGGTCGACGGCCGTGTGATTGCGGCTGACGTGGCGTGGTGTGTGTCGAGTGGAATAGTGGTGGTGGCGGTTTATGTGTATTTGATCCAAAGGGTCGACTATGACGCAGACAATGAGGCGCTGCTGCTGGGGGTGGCAAGATTCTTGGGGGAGCCTGAACGGCATCGGACGCGACTAGATCGCGATTGGCGGCTGGAACATGGAACCTGGCGTGGTCAGCCGAGCTTGGCAGGAGGTGCGGAATGTGTCTTGCTTGAGCCAGACCAACGCACTTGTGCGGCACCGATTCCTGGCGCCAGGTGGAACTGCGGCATCGCGGGTGACAACCTGCCGATTTGAACGGAAGAGACGAGTGTGCGTTGGAGAATGCGGCCAGAGTGGTGACTTTGTTGTCGGCAAGCGATCGTGATGCCTTGGTTGGACTGAAAGCCTCTTCCGAGGGCCCTTCCAGTCAGGTGCGCGCGTTTCCGATTGAATTGGATGATTCAGGTGGGCGAGTCTTGCTTTTGGCGGAGGGCGAGTTTGTTTATTGCGCAGCGTGGGGCCAGATGGTTGAGAACGTCGAGAAGGAACTGCAGGGGCCCCCTAGCATCGTCGGCGTGGAGGAAGTGTCTACGTTGGGCACGTCGCGTCATTCGTCCGCCAGGATGGCGCAGTGCCTGTTGCTGCTGCATCGCTCTCGTGCGCAGGCCGGCCCAGAGTTGGAGGCGATGTAGTGGCTGCTGGGTGGGCCGGGCATCTGCGGAGTACGATGGCTTATTTCTAGGGTCTGGTCGGTCACTCGTGGTGCTGGAGCGATCGCGGGAGAAGTCTGAAATGGCGTGGTGCTTTGATGCCATGGGCGATGTGTTGTGCCGAAGCTTTTGGATTTCATCACGTAGCGCTCTGGTGCGAGGGCGCCATTTGGGCACTTGCCTGTCTCTGTTGAGAAGTCCTTGTTTCTGAATGGGTTGACGGTCTTCGGTGTTCTTGGGCCGCAGAGTTTGGGCCAGTTGTGTCCGCGTTCTATTGCGACGCGGTCGGGCGGCAGCTGGCTCCCGATCGACGTGATTGCGCCAGGTGGAAGGGGCGCGTTGGCGAGTTCTTCAGCGGGGAGTGAGTCTTGCTTGTGGTTTACGGCTTTCAATGCAGCGCGGGAAGCAATTGATTCAGGGCCTGAGGTGGGCTCCCGCGACCTGTCGGACAGTGAGCGCAGTGCGCGGGCCGCAGTTTGCGAGTGCCATGGTGCGTTGGATTTCGGGTCTCCTACCGATGCTGGTCGCCGGGGACAGTTGCCGTTCATCGCGGTTCCCGCATTGCGGCGGGCCGCCTTTGGTTTCTTGGTGGTCGGCAGCGGGGCCCTCGAGATTGCAGCCCCGAGCGTTTTTTATCGCGCCAAGTCAGGGGCTGGGTTCGACGGCGGCTTTCTTCAAGAGGTGCTCGAGGCAGTTGCTTTTTTTCCGGCGCCAGGTGTCTCTGGGATGGTGCTGATTCCGGAGAGTGGCGGAGGTTCGCGATGGCCGGCCTTCACTAGTCGCGTGGTTCGGATCTTGGCGAGGGTGCGCAGGCGGTGTCTCGAGTGTGGCCTGCTGATCGTCCATCAGGGTTGACCTGGGGCAGCAGGCGAGGATGCTTGTCGTCGGCCGCGGCGTTATGGCACAACTTCAGTTCCGCGGTGGCCAATGTGTCGGGTGATTCTGCGGTGTCGATCATGATTGACGCGCGGAAGTGCTTCGATGCGGCGTTCGTGGCGGAGCTCTTTCAAGATGCGAGGGCGGTGGGATGTCCGCGCGGGTTGTCGTGGCAGTTGTCAGTTGAGCGGAAGATCGGGACAAATCGGGACCAGAGATTCTGGGAGAGTTCCAAAGAAAAATAGAACGCCGAATTGTGGAGCGCAGCGCGCGCATTCGCAGAAGTTCCCCAAGGACTTTTCGAGGGCTTGAGGAGCCCAAGTAACGCGTGGGCGCCCAATTAAACTGTTGAGGGCGGGCAGAAAAGCTGGTGTGCACGAGCATTGGGAGCGGGTGCGCGGCTTGCACGGGGGGCGCAGTAGGTTTGCGTTTCAGGGGCTTGGGCGCCGGCCGATGCGTTGCTGGGGGGCCCGAGAGTGCGTCACACATATTACGCCTGTGGCGCCATGGAGGCCGCATGTGCGGTTGAAGTGGGGCGGGCGCCCCGCCGCGCGCACCGTCGCGACAGCTCTCTTGGGCGCCCGCCCGCCGCCGTGGACGTAGCGGGCCCAGCTAGTCTCGCGGTCGGCGCGCGGCGGGTCGGCAGCCACGACGCCGGCGGCCTGACAATGCTTCGAAAGTGTTTCTCCCCGAGCCCGGGGCTATTGTACGTTTTCGGTGGCACGCGCAGCTCGGAAAAGAATCGCCTTGTCCGTCGGCGGCCAGTTGGCTGTCGTCGCGCAGAAGTACCGGCGGATGGCGCGGTCCATGCTCAGCGCAGAGAGCGTGTCCATGGGCGTGGACTCGTCGAGGGGCAGAAGGAAGGACCTCGTGGTCGGGACCATCGCGGCCTGCGATGTCCACGGCCCCCACCCTCGGCGCGTGAAGACCTGCTGGGCGCCGCCGCAGGCCGATTTCAGAGAATCTCGGAACGGGAAATCCGGGCGCGCCGAATTTCGCGGGCCGAAAAACTTTCAGAGAGTTTCGGCCAGCTCCGAGGTTTTGGGTTGATGGGAATGTTTCACGCGGGGTGTCGAGTTCAGAGATTTTCAGAGATTCTCAGAGAAGTTCGGACGCGAGAATTTGGCGCGCCCCGTTTCCTGGTTCTGTCAATCTCTGAAAAGCGGTTCCTCAGGTTTTACCGGATCTCCAGGCGTCCCACTGTCAGCCAGAGACGAGCGACTGGCTGGCGCCGCGCCCGATGCTTCCGGAGTCGCGAACTCGGTCCTCGATTCCCTGGGGCCCGCGGGCCCCCGGGCCAATCGCGAGGTTGCCGAAGCCCCCGGGCGGTTGCGCGCGATTGTCTCCGAAACCGGAGTTGGGCATCCATGTGGACGCCCGCGCGTGCGCGCTAGGTGTCCGCGAGATTATTCGGTGGCGGATATTGCGTAGTGCGGGGGCCTTCCGAAGACTTTCCGGGGTTATTCTCTACGGTTATTTCGGCGCGCTTCGGGAACCTTGGGGCGGCGCGGGGAAGTCGCCAGGCCGCGCGCGGGCTCCTTTTCCAATGCCTTCTTGGGCATTATCGCGGTGTTGCGTGGCCATAGAGGTCACTGAGTGCTGCGTTTTTTTGACATTTACACGTGTTTTTCGTTGCGTTGGTTGCGTGATTGTTTTGGCGGTCCGCCTCTTTGGGCCCCCCTTGGGGCTTCAAGTTTGTTTTGTTGACGTCGGGTCTTCTGGAGTGAAAGGCGCTTGGCGCTGAATTCCCTCGGGCGCGCGCGTGGCCACATACGCGCCGTGGCCTCATCCGCGCCGGGGCGCATTCCTTCCCTCGCGAAGCCGATGGTGCCCAAGGCGTGGCAGGCCCGTTCGGTGGCGCCCCCAGTGATTTGAAAAACCGAACACGATTTTTATCCCGGTCAAACTTTGCCCCGATCCCGGCTTCGTCTTAAGTTGGGGGGGGGGGGGGGGGGGCCAGTGCGCGCCCAGAGCGATGCGAGCGTGAGGCAGCATCGGCAACGTGATGGCCGGCAGGCAGGGCATCTTGCCAGGCTGCGCGCATGCGGCGTTGGCGCTGCTGTACTGGACTCTTGAGAAAGTGAATCGTTTTTTGCAGTTCCGTCTGCCCTCGCGGGCTGGTTGGTCACGTCAAGTTGCGTCGGGTTGATCCTGAACTTTGTGGTGTTCAGGTGTTCAGGGCGCGGTGATGTCGACGACGTGCTTGACCCTGGGGTCCAGAAGGCTGGGGCTGATTATCTAGTCGGCCAGGTGCGTGCTCGCACTGGCGTCCAGAGATGCCGCGGGCGCATTCAGACCGTGGGCCAAGATGTTGATCATTCAGCAAAGGTAAGCGGTCGGGAATCTCGGGCTCTATTTGTACTGCAGACAAGTCAACGGTCAGCGGCTGAGGCGGAAGTTCAGAATATGAAGGTGAGGGTGCCCCGGGTCAAGCTTTTGTAGGAGGCTGGAGCGCGCGCGCAAGCGTGGTGGCGCACTGGGCCGCTGGCATCCGCCGCACGCTGCGCGCGTGCATTTGGCGCTCCAGGCCCAGGCCTTGGGTGCCCGCGGCAGACGGCCGCTCTTGTGACTGGCGAGTTCCTCGGGCGGCGTGAGCCATGCCGTTGTTCTTGCGATTCCGCGTGGGGGGAGGCTGGGTCTGATGTTCGAGGCGAAGTGCAGCGTGGTGTTCATGTGTTTCGGGTTTGTCAGGGGCCACAGGTCCGAGCTTGGTCGATTGGCGGAAGCGTGAAGAATTCTAGATGCCCGCTGAGCTGCTGTGGGGCTTACTGCCCGCTGGCAGCATGCTGGCTTTCTTCGGCGTGTCGGTTGGGAGATTCTCGGCAGCGCTGTCATCAAGTCCGACGAGGGGCTCATTGTGTCACTGCTGCAGGTGTCACCAGTTGGTATCAGACAGGGTTTGCGCGATGGAGTGACGAGATGGCAGTCTAGATAGACCTA